CTAATAAATCGGCCTGTGTTCCGTGACTCCTATGCACCTAGAGCTCTGATACCAACTTGTCACGACCCCTGTTCGCCCTCCGTGAACATGTCGTGATGGCACCTAGTCCCTATAACTAGGTAAGCCTAACAATGCAGAAATAATAACCTAGCTTGCGGAATAATTAATTAAAACTGAACATATTAAAATAATAACTGCATATAAGGCCGCTCGGCCTATACAACTCAAAAGAAATGCGGAAGTCTACAACTCAATCCCAAAACCCGGGAACTCACGGGAAACACAAGCTAATAGAAATACTGTAAATGCTCTAATCTCAAGAATGTCTACATCAAAAGCATGATAGAATCTAAACACTACAAATAGAATAAGGAAGGAGACTCTTCGGTCTGCGGACGCTGCAGATATACCTCGAAGTTCCGTAGCTCTCCCCTGCCTCAAGGATAGTGCGCCTGAGTGGAGGTACCTGGATCTGCACATGAAAAAAACATGCACAGGAAGGGCATAAGTACACCACAGCGGTACTCAGTAAGTGTCAAGCCTAACCTCGGTTGGGTAGTGACGAGGAAGGTCAGGGCCCTACTGAGGTTAAGCAATAAAATATAAATCAACAGTATGAAAATAAGCAGTAATGGCGAGTACAGCAGTGGAATAAAACAAGCTAAACAAGGCAATATCAAATACACAAAGAACGGAGCAACCCCAGAATAAGTATAGCTCAATACCAATGGTAACAATGAGGATCTCCCAGGATACCGTCCTGTAGTCCTTTTCTCAACTGTCTAGTGGATCTCCCGAGATACCGTCCCGTAATCCATCATATGTGTTTATCCGAAGGATCTCCCGGGATACCGTCCCATAGTCCAGTTATCAATGTGCAGGGGGATCTATCGGGAATCTAACCCGCAGTCCCAAAATAAATGTGCAGGGGGATCTATCGGGAATCGAACCCGCAGTCCCAAAGTAAACAAACAAGGGGGGAGCTACCGGAATCCCACATCCGTAGTCCCAATGTAAATGCGCAACCACAACCAGAAGATATTCAGAAATGAAGTACAAAAGACAAACATCAGGTAGTACTAGCCTAGCATGATTCACGTAGTACAGTCAAGGCAACTTAAACAATTAGGCAAGCTAAATGAACTAAACATGCTTTTCTAATCTAACACAGATTATAACTGCAAGTAAAACAAGGCAAATATGAAGGAAACTCATTCTCAATATCTTAAGTAAAAACCGGATTTTTCAACAATTAGCTCAAGTACGCGCTCGTCACCTCACGTACAAGGCACTCAATTACCACATATCATATCCTAAGGGGAAAGGTCCCCCACACAAGGTTAGACAAGCCACTTACCTCGAACCGGCTCAAAATCAATTAGAAACCACGCCTTTGCCACGAGTATCCGAATCCAAATGGCCCAAATCTATTCAATTCAATTACACATTGTAAATAACATCGCAAGCAACTGATTCTGCTAAATAACTCAACGCTAAGGCGCGAAATTAGATAAAATGACAAAAATGCCCTTCATGCCAACATCTCGGAATCGAATAATTTTTACATTTTCAGAACCCTCGTACTCTCACGAGTCTAACCATATAAAAATCTCCCAAATCGGAGGTCATACACCCACTCAAAACTCAATAGTTTAGCCTATGAAGTTTTACCCATTTTTCATTCAAAAATCCGAAATTAAGGATGAATTTGTGATTAGATTAGTGGGTATTAAGCATAAGAGAGTAGAGAATTATTACCCAATCGTTGCTCTCGAAAACCCTTCGAAATTTCTCCCAAATCCGAGCTCCCAAGCTTGTATTTTGATAAAAATGGCTAACCCTTGTTTTTGAGATATTTATAACTGCCCAGGCATTTTGTTCATTGCGATCGCGGAACAACGCTCGCGATCGCGTAGAGGAAATTCGATAAGGCCCAGAATTGTACATCGCGATCGCGTGAAGAGTGATGCGATCGCGAAGGGAAAATGAGATATGGCTTATGCAATCGCGTAGGAACTCATGCGATCGCGAAGAGAAAAGTGGCAACTGCCCTCAAGTCCCAATTTACACTACGCGAACGCGGGACGAGAAATGCGATCGGGAAGAAGAGAGAAATAGGCCTTCGCGATCGCGGAAGGCTTAATGCGAATGCGATGAAGGCTTTCGAGGTGGTCTTCAACAAGGCATCGCGATCGCGGGAGAACCATCGCGATCGCGTAGGAGGATATCAGAAGCAGCAGTTACAGCAGATTAAATAAGAGGAAAAATGATCCGTTGAGCATCTGAAACACACCCGAGGCCCCCGGAACCTCAACCAAACCTACGGACATATCCCATAACATCATTCAAACTTGTACCAATCCTTAAACCACCTAAAACAACGCCGGAAACTCGAATTAAACAAGGATTTAAGCCTAAGAACTTCAAATTCTAACAAAACACGCTTTCGATCAAAAACCTAACCAAACCTCGTCCAAATGACCTGAAATTTTACACTCACATCCCAAGTGACATGACGGAGCTACTGCAACTTCCGGAATTCCATTCCGACCCTCGGATCTAAATCTCACTATCGGACCGGGAAACTTCAAAAATTCAAACTTCGGCATTTCAAGCCTAATGAGCTACGGACTTCGAAAATACATTCCGAACACGCTCCCAACCCCGAAATCACCTAACGGAGCTAACTGAACCATTGGATTTCCATTTCGAGGTCGTCTTCACACTGTTCCGACTACGGATCACTTTTCAACACTTAAGCTCTCATTTAGGGACTAAGTGTCCCAAAACTCTCCGAAACTCAACACCGAACGTCCCGGCAACCCAAAATAGCAGAAATGAACTTAGGGGAAGCAGTTAATAGGGGATCGGGGCGTTAATTCTTAAGACGACCGGCCAGGTCATCACAGAATGTCCAAAAAAACTTTATTAATTTTCTCTTCTACAAGTTAAACCAAGCACGTGCAACACTTGTATTTTTCGTCCCTCGCATCGCTCTCGCTCCCTTAAAATCTAACCGTGTAACGAATGTCCAACAAAAAAATTTATTAATTTTCTCTTCTACAAGTCAAACCAAGCAAGTGCAGCACATTAATTTTTCGTCCCTCGCATCGCTCTAGCTTCCTTAAAATCTAACCGTGTAACAAATGTCCAACAAAAAACTTTATTAATTTTCTTTTCTACGAGTCAAACCAAGCACGTGCAACACATCAATTTTTCGTCCCTCGTATCGCACTTGCTTCCTTATAATCTAACCTTGTAAGGAATGTACAACAAAAAATTTTATTAATTTTCTTTTCTACAAGTCAAACCAAGCACGTGCAACACATCAATTTTTCGTCCCTCGCATCGCTCTCGCTTCCTTAAAATCTAACATTGTAAGGAATGTCCCAAAAAAAAACTGTATTAATTTTAGCTACTACAAGTTAAACCGAGGTTGTGAAACACATCAATTTTTTTCCTTGCCTCGCTCTCTTTTCCTTAAAATCTAACCTTGTAAGGAATGTTCAACAAAAAACTGTATTAATTTTTTCTTCTATAAGTCAAACCAAGCACGTGCAACATATCAATTTTTCGTACCTTGCATCGCTCTCTTTTTTTCTTAAAATCTGATCTTGTAAGGAATGTCTAACGAACAACTGTATTTATTTTTTCTTCTACAAGTTAAACCAAGCACGTGCAACACATCAATTTTTTTTAACTTACATCTCTCTCTTTTCCTTAAAATCTAACCTTGTAAGGAATGTCCAACAAAAAAAGTTGTATTAATTTTCTCTTCTACAAGTTAAACGAAATACGTGCAACACATCAATTTTTTTTCCTTGCATCGCTCTCTTTACCTTAAAATCTAACCTTGTAAGGAATGTCAAATAAATAAAAACTGCATTAATTTTCTCTTCTATAAGTTAAACGAAGCACGTGCAACACATCAATTTTTTGTTCCTTGCATCGTTCTCTTTTCCTTAAAATTTAACCTTGTAAGGAATGTCCAACAAAAAACTTTATTAATATTTTCTTCTACTAGCCAAACTAAGCACGTGTAACACATCAATATTTCGTCCCTTGCATCGCTCTCGCTTCCTTAAAATCTAAACGTGTAAGGAATGTGCGACAAAAAGCTTTATTAATTTTCCTTTCTATAAGTCAAACCAAGCACGTGCAATACATCAATTTTTCTTACTTTACATCGCTCTTTTTTTCTTAAAATCTAACCGTATAAGGAATATCCAACAAAAAACTGTATTAATGTTCTCTTCTACAAGTTAAATGAAACACGTGCAACACATCAATTTTTTGTTCCTTGCATCGCTCTCTTTTTCTTAAAATCTAACCTTGTAAGGAATGTCTAATAAAAAACTTTATTAATTTTCTCTTCTATAAATTAAAGCAAGCACGTGCAACACATCAATTCTTTTTGTTCCTTGCATCGCTCTCTTTTCCTTAAAATCTAACATTTTAAGGTATGTCAACCAAACTTTAATAATGTTCTCTTCTACAAGTTAAACGAAACACGTGCAACATATTAGTTTTTTGTTCCTTGCATCGCTCTCTTTTTCTTAAAATCTAACCATGTAAGGAATGTCTAACAAAAAACTTTATTAATTTTCTTTTCTACAAGTTAAACCAAGCACGTGCAACACATCTTTTTTTGTTCCTTGCATCGCTCTCTTTTCCTTAAAATTTAACCTTGTAAGGAATGTCCAACAAAAAACTTTATTAACTTTTTCTTTTACAAGTTAAACCAAGCGAGTGTAACACATCAATTTTTTGTTCCTTGCATCGCTCTCTTTTCCTTGAAATCTAACCTTGTAAGTTGAATAAAAGCTGAACGAAATATGGTGAATAAAAGCATTTCAACATTTGAGGGACAAAATGATTATGTGTTCTTTAATGACTTGTATTGATCATGTATCAGAAAACAAATAGGTAACAGTTATTAAAACAAATAAAAACAATGCATTTGTCAATAGTTTCCTATATATGCTAAAAAGCTGCCCATCTAGTTTCTCACTGTTCAATTTCCTATTGCTAATGTCAAAGCAACAAATTGCTATTACAGAGTTAGGAACGCAAATACAATATGAAGACAGATTGAACACGTGATAAGAAAATGGCCCAAACGGAGATTTTAGCTCCTGAGGAACTTCCAGGGCCTGTTCATATTCCTATCCTGCAAATGTGAAGTAGAAAAACAAAGTAGAAAGCTCATGTCTTGCAATATCTCAATATAATTTGTTTCACAGAGATGAGGTACTCTCTCCATTCAGCTCACTATTCAAAATTCCTATAGCAAATGTCAAAGCAACAGGATGCTACTACAAAGGAATACAAATACAAGATGAAGACAGAATGAATGAGCAGAACATGTGATATATAAATCGCTCGAATTTCTCACTCCAAAGTTTCTGCAGACTGGATTCCAAAATCTTTATGAACCAAATATTTCGGCATATCTTGTAACTTTTCTCACTAAAGTGACACAGTAGCAAATCTAACGAAAAAAATCAAAGGAGTATATCGCTGTAATTCCTTCATAACTGTATTAAAAAGGTAAGAGTCAGGAATTCAAATCAATTCATTCATCCCGCAAACCTACTCTACATCAATTCGCTGGAACACTCTAATAACTACGGAATGCTGTGTTTGTCGCTCCCCCTCTATGTTCTCCACACTTGAGTTTGTTGCATACTCTTGTTTAAAGCTCAAAGGAGGCATCAGGAAAGTTGCGATGGTCCAGCTGCTATACATTCTCTCATTTCAATGTTACTAAGCTTTCCTTATAAACATAAACCCCACAGCTGCGTCGCAGGACTGGGTGACAAAATCCAAGACGTCGTGTCTTCTTAGTCCTAACATTATAGGAGACTAGCCAAGAACGTCTAGTTGCCAAAATGAGACTGCTGGAATACCAAGTCTTAATACCTCTAAAGTTTTGGAAGGTAAAAAGTTTGTTCCAAACCCCTGGTTGGATCATTACCCATATATCATAAAAACAATTTCCATTAAAGGTCAAGAGGGCAACCGAGTCGTCAAGCAATATCAGAGAACTAAAAGAGATAACATCTGGCCCTTTAATCTCTTCAAACACCTCATTGCTAAAGTCAAACGAAAGAATACTGGGCTTAAGCCCCTCCCTTATCAGCCAATAATAAGCCCCATTCAGATAAGCAGTACCATAGGCTTCATTTAAAGAGCGTCCGCAGGAATTGAATTTAATTTTAGGTGTAATGTTTCTACATGAGTCCATAGAACAAGAGTAGACAGCTGCATATTAATATTCACCAAAGTGAAAATTATAGTAAACCACTTTATAGTCATTAGTCAAGGGATCTAATCCGAACCCATAGTGAGTGTACTAGATTTTGTGTGGAGGGAGGTGCCTCGCCTCTCTGGTCGAAGAATTCCACAGCGCCATTGCAAAGATTTGCATGTATCTATTTTCGGGATCAATTTCTCTTTGCAACAAAAACAATCCATCCACAGAACCTATAACTTTCGTCAAACCTTTAAATCTATGGATATAATCAGGAGCTTCACCATCACCATGATTCTCTGAAATCAAAGTAATGAGAAAGGAATCATCACGCGCATTATATTTATAAATCAGTAATTGGGAAGCTCATTCTTGCTACAATTCAAGTGTTTTCTAATAAAAGCGGGGCTCTTGATAAGAACATACCAGTTCTTGCACACGCATTTGAATCTAAACAATGACTTCACGGGCAGCCTGAGTAGAATTTCTCCGTCTAAATCTTTAGGGAAAGGCCTACGGCCAATTTTGCTGCTGCCCATATATAGTAAATTGACACACAACAAATCGAAATAGAAGAAATAAGGGTTAAGTGTTCCGAAATTAGTACAAGCGAAAAGAACACAGAAATTGATTGGGGAAAATCTAGATTGGTAGGACTGAGGAAGATGAAGAAAATGGTAGTGCCATTGATGAATGAATTACTGCACATTTCCCTCTCTAAATAGAAGAAATTATTGTTGTAATACATTCCCCATTTTGAGGCGTTGATTCATTCTCTTTTATTTAATTGCCACAATATTGGGCATACTATATTAATCTAACTAAATTCTATTTCTACCTTTATTATCGGATTATCCATTGCCAAGTCAATAATATTTTGGTTTCATTTTGAATTTTAAAAATTGATTAAACTTAGTTTGATTTTGGTTTTAAGTGAAAAGATAATCCGAAAAAGTCGAACCAGCCCAACTATGGAAATATTTATTTAAAATTTTATTATTGCACATTTAATATATATATATATATATATATATATATATATATATATATATATATATATATATATATATATATATATATATACTGCGGCATGCAACCCGATCCCACCGTATAATATATTATCCCTTATTCCTCCATATCAATATCAATAAATAACAAATGTACAAAGTCAATTCAGAAATCGAAATCACAAGACCTTTACGATAAATAAATACCAAACTGAACCAAGAAAAGAAACCTCGTTCAATATAGAGTCTACACGAAAATAACACTACACAACGAGACCAAACCAACAATTTACAGTTAGAATGTGCAAACAAGTCAAATTAAATAAATAGCATGGATTAAGGGAAACTATGAAAGGAGCTAGCATGGTTAACAGAAGAAGATATTGATTAGCATGTAGCAGATGAGCATGGACAGCATTTAGAGCATGTAACAAATAAAACATGGAAAGAAACAGTTAAAGTAAAGCAGAAAATCAGGGAAAAATAGATAATTCGGCGGCGTATAAGCACTCGTCACCTTGCATATACGCCGCTCACATGGAATTCACAGAATACATAATCCGGGGGTTCCTAAATCCCTCAAGTCAAGGTTAGACACAACACTTACCTCGCTCCAAAGGCCACTCAAATCTCAATCACAGCTTTGCCTTTCAAACATGCCTCCGAACCAACAATATCTAGAAAATTGCCAACCAAACATTTCAAAATAAGCCTTAGGAATCACCCATGATCGATAAGAATTCAATTTAGGCCATTTTTGAAAAAGTCAACACCCGGGCTCGCTTGGTCCAAACCCGAAATTTGGACCAAAACCTGTTTACCCATTCACCCCCGAGCCCGGATATACAATTGGTTTGGAATCCAACCTCAATTTGAGGTCTAAATCCCCAAATTTCGAAATCCCTAGCTTCTACCCAATAATCCCCAATTCCACCATGAAAACCTTCGATTCTAGGTTGAATTCTTGTAAAAAGAAGTGAAAGATTGAAAGAAACTAGTTAAGAATCACTTACTTAAGATTTGGAAAAGAAAAAGTCTTTGGAAAATTGCCTCTTGTGTTTTAGATTTTGAAAAATTGGAGAATGAATGAAAAATCCCGTCTAAGTCCTTTTTTACACAGTTGCAGATGTCGCATTTGCGACCTGAGCTTCGCAATTGCAAAGCTCGCAAATGCGAACTCCCCGTATTTCTGCTGCCTTTGCAATTGCGATCCAGTCTTCGCAATTGCGAAGTCTGCCTTTCCCCTGTACCCATCGCAAATGCGAAGTATTGTTCGCATTTGCGAACATATACTGGCCCAGCTTCTCTTCGCTCGCAAATGCGACCTCAACAATAGTCGTAAATGCGAAGCTTCTGAGGCCTGCAACACAACTGAAGAACACCAGCAATCTTTCTAAGGTTCAAATCACTCCGTAGCCCATCCGAAACTCACCTGAGCCCTTGGGGCTCCAAACCAAACATACACACAAGTCTTAAAACATCATATGAATTTGCACTCGCGCGATCAAATCACCAAAATAACATCTAGAATTACAAGTTTAGCACCAAATCAAATGAAATTTTTTTAAAAAACTTTAGAACTTCTAACTTCACAACCGGACGTCTGAATCACTTCAAACCAACTCCGCTTCTCACCAAATTTCACAAACAAGTCAAATATCATAATGAACCTGTACCGGGCTTAAGGCTGTATGGTGGGCCGGGCCCGGGCCTAAATGGGCTAAACGGGCCGGGCTAAACGGGCCTGGGCTTAGCGGTCCTGGGCTCTGGCGGTCCCGGGCTTCGCGGTCCCGGGCTTCGTGGGCTCAACGGGTAGGACCAGCCCGTGACGGGCCTAAGCCCATATGGTCCTGGGCTAAATGGGCCGGGCTCGTGGGCTTAGCGGGCCTAACGGGCTTTTTTTATTTTCGGGCTTTTTTTTAATTTTTTTATTTAAGGCAATTTCTTGTAAACCATATGTGTATGTATATATATAAATTGCTCTTATGCATGGCTATATAAATATATGTAGTATATATAATATAGAAATCTAATTATTAAAGTGTTTGACGAAAATGTAAAATAACAAATCAATAGTAAAACTAAATTGGCATGCATAATAAATTAATAACAAAGTACAACATGAAGCATAAATACGTCTAATAATTTTAAAATAACACAAATTGTTGAAAAATCTTAAAGACGAATTTGCGGATAAATACCCTCAACACAATACTTTATATGCCTCCTTAAAATGCCTGTGGTACACCCTGAACGAAAATTTAAGACTCTTCCACAGTTCTTGCACTTTAATATTTGGCCTTCTTCATTTTCTTCAAGCACTTCATAGTATTGCGAAACAAATAAGCGCACTCTTTCCGAACGAGGCATGATTTAACTTGAAAAATTGAGATTGAGACTTGAAGTCTTGAAAAATTGGAGATTGAGAGATTGAAGAGAAATTTTAGAATTGAAGAAATGAGGTATTGAAATGAAGAAGAGGGAGGGGGGTACTTATAGTGTTAGAAAGGTTAGTTTTGAAATTGGAAAAAAAAAAATGCTATTTGTGCAATTAATATGGACCCGTTGGTGGTCATTGGGGGTGGGGCCCTCATTTTAAATTTTGTTTTTTAGTATATATATTACTACTTCTTCATGTAAATATAATATTATATAGTATACTAGTATAGTATACTATATATAGTATGTTATGTATATATATTCCCTTATATATTTTCTTGTAGTATATATAGTATGTTATGTATATATATTCCCTTATATATTTTCTTGTAGTATATATTGTATGTATGTATATATATTCCCTTATATATTTTCTTGTAGTATATATTTGATATGGTTATGTATATATATTATAGCTTATAATTTCTTGTAGTATATTTATATGTTATTGTATATATATTATAAGCTTTAATAAAATAATTGACACGGTTAGTTAAAGACAAAAAATATTGCAAAGAGATATTGACAGGGCCATGTCTTATAATTTTTATACCAAAAATGGCATATCTTTCTATAGTCTTCTCCCTCCAATGAATGAGCCCAAACAAGGGTACTTAATCACCACCATTAAAAGGAAAAAAAACTAAAAGAAGATATGCCAAGTACAATTACACCATAACCTACATTGTATTCATCTAACAAATCTCATAAATCCTTCAAGGTAATCGGAGGGAGGTTCCGTATGGTGTGGCTGAAAAAGCTTGTCATCACCGCTTCCGGCGAAGCAGGCATCCTCCGCAAAGTTTCCGCTATCATTTTCTTCATAAGCTTCGTCTATCTCCGGTTGTGATTCTGCCAAGTCCAAAGTTTCTTCTTTCGAGCGGACTCCAATCTCTTGAATAGTACCTGGATCAAAGCTTCCCATAGAGTCACTCTCTCTTTTT